CAAGATAAAAAGTTCCCGCACAGCAACAGAAACAATCAACAAAACTAAAAGGCAGCCTACGGAATGGGAGAAGATATTTGCAAACGACATATCTGATAAACGGTTAGTATCTAAAAATCTATAAAGAACTTAACAAACTCGGGGCGCCTGGGTGGCTCAGTCATTAAGCATCTGCCTTTGGCTCGGGTCATGATCCCGGGGTCCTGGGATCGAGCCCCGCATCGGGCTCCCTGCTCAGAAGGAAGCCTGCTTCTCCCTCTCCCACTCCCCCTGCTTGTGTTCCCTCTCTCGCTGTGTCTCTCTCTGTCAAATAAATAAATAATATCTTTAAAAAAAAACCTTAACAAACTCAATACCCAAAAAAACACATAACCTAGTTAAGAAATGGGCAGAAGACATGAATAGACATTTTTCCAAAGAAGACATCAAGATGGTTAACAGACACATGAAAAGATGCTCAACATCACTCATCATCAGGGAAATACAAATAAAAACTACAATGAGATATCACCTCACTCCCATCAGAATGGCTATAAATAACAACACAGGGAACAACAGATGTTGGAGAGGATGCAGGGAAAGGGGAACCCTCTTGCAGTGTTGGTGGGAATGCAAACTGGTGTGGTCACTCTGGAAAACAATGTGGAAGTTCCTCACAGAATTAAAAATAGAACTACCCTAGGATTCAGCAACTGTACTACCAAAATACTGATTTGAAGGGATACGTGCACCCCAATGTTTATGGCAGCATTATTAACAACAGGCAAATTATGGAAAAAACCCAAATGTCCATCAACTGATGAATGGATAAAGAAGATGTGGTGTATATGTGGTATGTTTGGTGTGTGTGTGTGTAATGGAATATTACTCAGCCATCAAAAAGAATGAAATCTTGGCCATTTGCAATAGCATGGATGGACCCAGAGTGTATTATGCTAAGCAAAATAAGTCAGAAAAAGACAAATGCCATATGATCTCATTCATATGTGGAATTTAAGAAACAAAACAAATGAACATGGCGGGGGAGGGAAGGGGGCAAACCATAAAACAGGCCTTTAACTACAGAGAATAAATGGAGAATTGATGGAGGGAGGTAGGCCAGGGATGGGCTAAATGGGTGATGGATATTAAGGCGGGCACTAGTTGTAATGAGTACTGGGTGTTATATGTAAGTGATGAATCACTAAATCCTTCACCTGAAACTAATAATTACACAGATGTTGACTGGAATTTAAATAAAAACTTGAAAATAAATAAAAAATAAAACTGGAAAAATGTATAAATAAACAAAATCTATTATTTTTTTAAATGGGTAAATTCCTTTGAAACAAAAGCATAAAGGAAACCACAGTAAAACTTAAAACCTATAATTCAGAAGAGAAAAGATAAATCTGACCAGATAATTCTTTAAAGAATAGGGAAATTCAGGGGCATCTCAGTGGTTCAACTGGTTAAGCATCTGACTCAATTTCAACTCAGGTCATGATCTCAGGGTCATGAGATTGAGCCCCACATGGGGCTCTGTGCTCAGCATGGAGTCTATTTGAGATTCTCTCTGTACCTCTGCCCCTCCCCCTGTACTCTCCCACCTGTGCACTCTCTCTTTCAAATAAATAAAGTCTTAAAAAAAAAAATAGGGAAATTCAGATAATAAATGACAAACTTGGGGGGAATCTAGTTTGTGTCTGCTTCATATAAAGAAAGTATCTAGCAGTGCCTGGGTGACTCAGTGTGTTAAGCCTCCAACTCTTGGTTTTGGCTCAGGTCGTGACCTCATGGGTCATGGGACAGAAAAGAAGAGATTGGGGATGACTCCCTGCTTAGAAGATTCTCTCCCTGTGCCCCTTCCCCCACTCACTTGTGCACTCTCTCTCCCTCTCTAAAATAAATCAAAAAAAAAAAAAGTATCTAAAAGTTAATAAAGTTCAAACATGATAGAAAAATGGGCAAAAGATTCCAAACAGTTCAGGTCCTATTTCAATGAATAGTATGCACCGGCAAAATTACAGGAGAGAGAAACTGCTTGCCAGGCGCTGGATATCTCAAACTGATGGTTTTAGCACATAAAAGTAGAATGATAGATTGAAAGGTATTTTTTTCCCCCCTCATGGTTATTTGGAAGGTGCAGCTATGACATGGCACATTTAGCACAGTTCTTCAACATTCTAAATATCACTACTGAGAATTTTTGTAAAATACTATATTCTACAAGTCATTTTTTCTTACATTTTAAATTCAATTGAGGACATTGCCTCTTTGCAATTCCACCTCCTTGACATTTATTTTTCCCCGTTAGTTTCTTCTTCCCATAAGTGTTGGTGTTGTGTAAGATGCTCCCTGGATAACCTGTATGTTGCCTACACCTACATCTGTACTCCTCAGGGGTTCAAACTCCCACAGATCCCTACTAGAGTCTCAAGTCTGATGGGCATTCCCCTGTTGAAGTAGACTCATCTTCCCCTGTCAATCTGTTCTTCTTTCTTGCCTACTTCAGATGTTGATCAGAGAGGATTGAGGTTGAGATTGGAAAGACAGAATAGAAGAGATTAGGGAGTAAATTCAAGTTTGTACTTTTGCTGATTGTTACCAAATTAGCTCTTAGCAAATCCAGTTAATTTCACCTCCTAGGCATTAAAAAGAAAACCCCCTCTTTGCTATCTCTATTTTACCTCCCTAGATTGTATAATGGACACACAATGGTCTCTATGTGTGCTTGGACTTCACAAATCGGTCTCACATCCACCAGAGAGCTCGAAAGTACTATTCTGAGTATATCACTTATCTGCCTACAATCCTCTGTTGAACAATCACGTTTTGAGGTGGTCAGGACAGTGAGCCAAACTTAAAGTAACAATCAAGCCTTTATTCACTCACTGTGATAGCGCAAGCCAGAGGCCAAAAGAGAGGCACCAGTTCTGCAATGCTCCATTCCTTGCCCCGCCCACCATGGGCCAGCATTAGGCAAGGGTCGGGTGGGTGCAGTGCAGGTGCAAGGAGGCATCTCATTCCAAGGGGCCCCAAACAAAAGGCTCCTGACTCTTTATGGACTCATGGGTTGAGGGGAAAGAAAGGGGGAAGAGCCAGAAGTGGAAAGATACCGAGTCAAGTGGAGAAAAGTGCCTCAACCAAAGACCCCTGATAAGGAGGTCTTAGCAGAAGCACCTGGGAGGTGCCTCAGTCAAGGTCCCTGATAATGAGGCCTCTGAATGGAGACACTTGAGCTAAAAATACAGGTTACATATGAGCATGTCTGGCCTAGGTGCCTGAGTCTTGGACCTCAATTTTCTCTAGAAAACACAATGCACTGGGCATGCACCCAGTCTGGTGTGGGCAGGGCACCTTTCCCCTAGGAGGCCTGCCAGACAATGACTATAATTGCCTATGGTCAGGACTCATAGGTCATGCAAGGATTCTGGCTTGGAGCTAAACTCCTCACCCTCCAGTGGCTACCCCAAAGCCTCAACCTCTTCACATGGTAAACAAAGATCCCTTCATCTGACCCCCATACCTACTCTTCTGGTATAATCTCCTGCTTCACATTTCATACTCCAGTAAAAACTGCCCCCCTCCATGTGGCGCCTGGGTGGCTCAGTCAGTTAAGCATCTGCCTTTGGCTCAGGTCATGATTTCAACTCACAATGGGCTCCCTGCTCAGCAGGGAGTCAGCTTCTCCCTCTACCCCTCCCCCTGCTCTCTCTCTCTTAAAAAAAATAAAATCTTCTAAAAAATATATTTAAAAAAAAAAACTGCCCCCCTCCAAACCTCCATGCCTTTGTTCACAGTTTCCCCTGCTTTCCCCACCTTCTGTTTCTTCACCAAGCAAACTCCCACTTATCCTTTTAAGATTTATCCCAGGTGCCACCTCCACCAGGAAGCCTTCTTAACAAATATCCACCTTCATTCTAGACACAAGTAACTCTTCCCTATGCTGTGGATCCTTAAGCCCTCATGCACACAAATTGCTACCAACTTACTTACTACATAATATTTCCTGTTTCTGTATCTGTCTATGTAACAAAACACTATATTCCTAGAGAACAGAAGCCATATCAGCTCTTTGGAATTCCTCTCCAAAGGCCACCATTCACTCTTTACAATTGGCTTCTTAGTCTACAGGCCTTAGGCTCCATGGTTGTCAGGGATTTCTAAAATCTTTTCATTTATATATGATGAGTACTGGAACATTTAAAGGTGTCCATTTGCAAAGTGATAACCACAACTTTTCACCTGTAAGTTCTGAATTTCCTGTCATTTAACTTTCACCCAATTTTTATGGGAATCCAGTCCAAGAGGAGAAGGAAGAGGGGAGCCAAGCAGACAACAAAGATACTCAATGTCAGCAAAGGTCTTAGTAGCCAGCAGTCCTAACACAACATTAAACTGGACAAGTCCATGTAAACTTGTGTCCCTGATGAAGTTGTAGCTTCTAGCTGTGTCACCGAAGAGGAAACCAGACTTCATTCAGGGAGAGATTGCAAGAATGGACTCCACATAGGCCTAAATCCCAGGCCTAAAGATTCTATGCCAAGGAAATTTAGATTCTCTCTCTCTCTCTCTCTTTCAGTAAACACTAAGATGTGTGCTGGGACTATTTGCACTGTTTCTGCACCTACTGAGTAGGCAGAGAGCTACAGACTCTAGAAAAATCAGGCTGGGGTGAGAAGCATGCCAGACATTTTAAAAAATCCCAGTGAGAATAGCAAAGATGAGCTTTTTACCTGGTAAAATCCTTACTTCACAGTTATATTCAAAAGCAAAAGCAATACTATGACCATGTGATTGTGTCCTCTCCCATTTTTATACAAAGATGTTTCTGTATCCTTTGCCATTCAAGACATTTTAGATCCTCTACATAGGGAGAAGATAGACCAGGAATTTGTATGAAATGAATGTCTACAAATATAATGTTAAAACCCTAAAATATTTTAATGGATTGTGGCTGCCTCAAATGAAATCAAGAGATAAATAACAATAAATGAATGTGTACCCCCTGTACTTACAAGAGAACATGAGCAACGATGGCATTCACATCGAACAAGGTATCAGTAGGGAATTCTCTGAGTAAGATGTTGCCCCTATAAAAAAATTTAAAAAGCATTACAGAAATATCTCCTTGGAATTCATTTTTCTTGTCTCTCTAATACAGTAGGTTTTAAGTTCTTTGATGTTAGAGCCTGGGTGTTATACATTATCCCATGCACTTCACCTACCCGCGTGCTAACCGTAAAACACACAAAAATATTTATTGAATATTCACTCAATAAATATGTTGACTTTGAAGAGCCTAGACCCTGGGCTAGGCAAAAAGACTGGGAAAGCACAGAAGTCTCAACAAGGCTTCCTACCAACCTCCCAGTCACATACACACACTTTCCTAAATGGGCTGGGAAGGAGACAAGTAGGAGTGAAAAAGAACTGTCCTTACAGCTGATCTCTGAGGAGACAGAATATGTCCCCACTTCTTAGGCCAAATCCCAACAGTTTGAGAAAAAGACTTTGAGAAACCTGAGAGACTAGGAGACCAAAGTGGAGAGGAATCTGTAACTGGGACATTGGCAGATCTCTCAAAAATACATTTCTTTCACACCCAAATATGGACCTGACAGATCTATTTGAAACACTAAATTTGTGAAGTGCTTACTTTCCAGGCACTTATAGTAGGAGTTTACATAAGAATTCTCATGTAACATTCAAAACAAGCCTGTGAGGTAGGTTTTATAGCTATTTTACCTCATTTTATAGATAAGGAAGCTGAAGCACAGGTAACAAATCTATGACTTAGACTATTTGCTAAGCTTCATGTGACCTCCCCCCCACAACTGTATACAATTTTATTCTGGCTTAGTGATATTTTGTATATTTTAATATTCTAGAAGTATAGCTTTATATCCGCCTATCACACTCAAAAAAATACTTTACCTGAATAAATATGCTCTCACCAAATCCTTTTCTTTTCCACAGTATCTTGATGTTTCTTCTTTGACACAATTAACCTTTAAAAGATTATATTTAAGGTTTAGAGTATATATCAAAAGGTCAAGTTTCTTGGTTAGGGAAACAAGAAGGAAAATTAAACAGCACAGTCTGTCTCCAGGTCAAATTTTTTATTTTACTTTTCTTTCTGATTTGAATCCTATAATTGCTTATTTATTCAAGTGCTTGAGGTAACCCCGAGAAAGGAATTATTTCTACACCAGGAGTTATATTTAATTATACTTGAGAGAATACTTATGGAACAAGTAGAAAGTAACCAAGTAGAAAAGGAAAGAAACAATGAAGGCGGGACAAAAAAATCATGAGTAAAAGCCAAGAAGCAGAAGTAAGTGGTTAAGTTGGGAGCATGAAAGCATCTCAGCAGCTGGAATAAAGATACTGCTGGTTTCTTTTTATTATTATTATTTTTATTTTTATTTTTTTTAAAGATTTTATTTATTTATTTGACAGAGAGAGAGATAGCGAGAGCAGGAACACAAGCAGGGGGAGTGGGAGAGGGAGAAGCAGGCTTCCCGCCAAGCAGGGAGCCTGATGTGGGACTCCATCCCAGGACCCTGGGATCATGACCTGAGCCGAAGGCAGACGCTTAACGACTGAGCCACCCAGGCGCCCAATACTGCTGGTTTCTTATTCAAAATCCAGCCTTTCCTTTTGTTCTACTACCAGAACTTCCCTAAACGCAAGTGGCCCAATGAAAGACTTTTCCAGACTCCCCAACAGCTACAGATGGCCAAACAGTGTTAGAAGTCACTGGGGTTGGATTCCAGATGGTTCTTAAAAGGGAGCTGACTTATACTCTTTTTCTACTTCTTCCTGACAAAAAACAGACAAGGCAGCTGGGGCACCAGCAGTAATCATGGACCATAAGACATCTTTAAAGGAGAAACCCTTGCTGAGCATGGTGCCACAGAAAGAATGAACCCTAATCACTGATGACGTCAGAGCAGCCCTAATAGCCCTTGATAGTTTATAAACTGTGTGTGAAAAATATAAGAATAATCCTGGCAGCAACATGAAGATACAGTGGAAGGCAAGAGAGCACAAAGATAAGGTGGCAGGTTAAACAAATATCACATCAGTACAGGGCAAGGATGACTGGCACCTGAAGTAAAGCAGAGAAGGACAGAAGAGGTTCAAGAGATTTCTCAACAATCCAGTAAGGAGAACTAGGGAGAAGAAGAGGCATGTGTATGCAGCCTGGGATAGAGGGGGAAGGAAAGAGATAAAGAGAACAAAGAGGTTTACGAAATGGGGCAATGGGTAGCTACCAACAAAACTTAAACTAAGGCTGGAAGAAAAACAGTTATTTCATTTTAGATTTTGTTTTTGTTTGATTTTTTTAAATGGGTTTGGGTTTTTTTTTGTTTTGGGGTTTTTTTTTTTTAAAGATTTTTATTTATTTGAGAGAGAAAGAACGAGACAGAGAGAGAGGGCATGAGAAGGGGGAGGGTCAGAGGGAGAAGCAGACTCCCCGCTGAGCAGGGCACCCGATGCGGAACTCGATCCCAGGACTCCAGGATCATGACCTGAGCTGAAGGCAGTCACTTAACCAACTGAGCCACCCAGGTGCCCCATGGGTTTGGGATTTTGTGTGTGTCGTTCAATTTAATTTTAATGGAGTTTGAGGAAGCAGAATGACAACTGGGGAAGCTACATTTATTTTCAAAAGCTACAAAAGGAGAACTGACACTCAGAAAAAAATATTAGGAAAAAAGAATTAGAATTAAAAGTCAGAATACAGCTACACTCGCCAAAAAACTGAATGTTAGCAAGAATTTTTAAAAGTCAGAGCACAGGTGATGATTGACATTATGACAACAGATTTTTTTTCTATTTATCCCATTCAACATATATATGAACGCCTACCATATGTTAGTCACTCTTCTAGTCACTGGGGTACCGTTAGGTTCCAAATAAAGATCTTTATCTTTAGAACTTACATTCTAAAAGCAGAGACAGACAATTTTAAAAACTAATATGTAGTGTTAAGTCCCATATAGGAAAAAAAAAGTAAGGGGATAGTGTATGACAGGACATTTTAGATAGTAATCAAAGAAGGCTTGGGGGAGGGGGTGACCTTTGCACAAAGAACAGAAGGAATGGAACGACGCATATGATTATCATATAAATGTGTGGAAGAGAGGAGTTCTAAGCAGAAGGGAAAATATTCACAAAGGCCTTGTGGAAATAACACTTCCAGCAGGTTCAGGTAACAAAAAGATGACCTGTAGGTGTCAGGAACAAACTGAGCAAGGTAAAGGGACAAAAAATGAATCAGAGAGGAAGCCAGTGTCCACAAGAGTGAAGAGTTTCTATTTTATCCTAACTGTAACAGGAAACCTTTCTGAAGGGGTAGCAAAGGGACCTGACACATATGACTTATGTGTGGAGAAAAGTTTAGTGGGACAAGAGTGAGAGGAGAAAGACCAATTATTAGAAGGCTACCGTAGTTTCCCAGATGAGAATTGATGAAGGTTTAGACAAGGGGAGGGAGGGGTCAGATTTGGGAAGTTTTGATAATAGAACCTAAAGATTTCTTGATGGCTTGAGTTAGGTCCTCAATATAGGTCTGTCTTATTCACTAGTCTCCTTTTCACATAGCTTAGCATCCTCAACTGTAAAATCAAGACTTTAAGTTTTGTTAGTTCATAAAGGCAACACCCTGGGCATGAACCTTAATATTCTACTCTAGTTACTAGATACACAGTTACTAGCTACTAGATAAACAGCATGATTATCCCTTTTGAATGACCTACCAACTTAGTATTTCATTTCTAAACTTTAGAATTTTATTAAAAGCTCCTCAAAGATGAGTACCATTATCATTCTAGAGTGTTATCAGTTGTTTAAAGTTAACAAAGGTACATATAGAATTGACATAAAAAAAGATTTTTTTTTTTAAGTATTAAGCAGTGATATAATAAGAAATAGATAATTGGTTTTTGCCCCCCTGGTTCCTGACACAGGGCTCCTAAAACCCTTGTTATTTCCTGAGTGATAGGAGTGTTAGGAGTACCTTTTGTTCTAATATTTGGTCTTTAACCCCAGTTCCTTATATAAGAGCTTCTAAGACTCTTGGAAACCCTTGCAGTGTTTAAGAGTATCTTTCTGCATGCTAATGAGGTGACTGATCCCTGGGGGCCCCTATATAGCTTCGAGATGGAGACTGCTCACCAAAAGGACAAGGCATGATTAGAAGGTTGAACTTTCTGTCCCACCTCCTATCCTCAGGGCTGGAGATATAGTTAATCACCAGCAGCCAAAGATTTAATCAATCATGTCCACAAAATGGAACCCCCATAAAAACCCTAAACAATAGGTCTTGGAGAGCTTCCAGGGTGGTGAACATATCTAAGTACCAGTAGGGTGGCAGAGTCCAAACCAGAAGAGGACAGAAGCTCCTGTGCTCAAGACTTCCAGACCTCACCCTATGCATCTCGTCCTTTGGGCTATTCCAGGGCTCTATCATTTATAATAAATCAGTAATAGTAAACAAAGTGTCTTCCTTCAATCCTGTTAGTTATTATAGCAAATTATCGAACCCAAGGAGGCAGCTGTAAGAACCCCCAATTTGTAGCCAAGTCAGGCAGAAGTTGTAGGTAACCTGGGAATCCACTCCTTGTGATTGGCATCTGAACTGGAGGGCAGTCTTATAGGACTGAGCCCTTAACCTCTGAGATCTGGGCTAAGTGGGCAGCTAGTGTCAGAACTGATTGGTGTGGAAAACTCACACATTTGATGTCAGAAGTGTTCTCTGGGTAGAAGAAAGAGTTTCCCTTTAATAGCCAAGGTTAGTTAACCTTTCTAGGATTCCTGCCCTGGGAACTCTAACTGCAGGGACCAAGTGGGACAGCAGCTATCTCTCAGAGGTAGAAGGCTAGTGAACTAAGAAAGAATAAATGTACACAGAAAGTCAGGGAGACACTAATCTGAGAGAATTTAATAATCACTGGGTTTTAATCATTCAATTTTCTGAGGTACAAATTCTAAGATTAAAGTAAATGAAAAGCTCATGGAGCTATCTAATCTATGATGCATGTGGAAATTTTCCATAATACTCAACAACAAGTTTAAACATTCTTTTGAGAAAAAAATTAAATATGTCATTTCAAGTTAGGTTGTTTTGACTTTGTTCTAAAAATAAAGGAAAAACTGCAACATAAGCAATTATAAAGACCTAGAAGAATAGAAAAGGAAAAATACTTCAATTACCTCAATTTTGGTATCTCAGTTTGTGCTAACAGAAAATAAATAGTTGAATGTGGAGATCTATTATAATATATTTGTCAGGCAAAACAACAAAGCTTAACTATAGGATTGAAAACTGAGCTATAGCCTCAATAAAACAGTTTGCAAAATAAATTAAGTTCTAAGCTAAAGAATTTTGAACAGCTTTTTTTCATCATGTACTAATTTACACAATAATCTGGAACTTCCTGTGCTTCTGTTTTTTCGTATAAAAAAAGGTAGAAAAAATTATTTTTCCAATATGGAAAAGGTGTGAAACATAAGTATATTTAGATACTCAGCCTTAAGTCATACAATTGGAAAGTGTTTGTCACTAATAATTTAGTAACAAAAAATGTCTTTCTACCTTTGCAACTGAAATTCCATAGTCCTGGAGAGGTTTAACAGCCTCATTCAGTTCTTCAAGAAATACAGAGGTTCTTGGAGAATCTAAAATAAGAAATGTTTTATGAATGTTTTATGGCTTGCTCCTTAGGAAAGATGAATTTTTAAAATTAAAGCCCAAAGCTGCAAACTGGAGAAGAAATAGATTAGTTTGCCCCACAAGTAGACAAAACAATAAATAAACATACCTAGTTATATATTTTTACACCCTTATTTCCTATTGCCTCATTATTCTTATTTCTAATGTTTTTGTGATATATTTTAACTTTGTAAGTAAATTTTAAAAATTTCTAAAACAAAAATAGAATGTTTAATTTAAAGCTAACATTTGGCATTATTTTTCCAAGTTTAATACCACATACACAACACACATGAATGCATGCACAAAACTTTCAAAATGATTTTAAAGCTTTTTTTTATGAGAGAAAGAGAGAGAGAGAGAGAGAGAGAGAGAATGCATGCAAGTGAGGGGAGAGGCAGCAGGAGAGGAAGAGAATCTCAAGCAGCCTCCACACCCAGCACAGAGCCCATCGTGGGGCTCAATCTCACAACCCTAAGATCATGACCTGAGCTGAAATCAAGAGTCCAACACTTAACTGACTGAGCCACCCAGGCGCCCCTTAAAATGATTTTAAAATACCATTTTCAAATGACAATTATAAGAGAGCCAACAGAAATGTGGAGTCATTTCACTTACTAATTCCAAGAATAGTTTTTTTTAAGGGATAAAGACTTAATGAGACCATTACAATTTTTAGTTAAGTTCAATTGGTTAATCAGTGTAATTAATGGTACAGCTGAAGCAGAGTATTAAACAAAAGAACTACTGATACTTCGTTTAAAGTTTTAAAACACTTTTAAAATATTTGTTCACTAAAAATACCAAAAAGTATACTTTCAGAAATGACTAGTTGAAATTCAGATGTTATTCACTAATTCTTATCTAGTATTTACTATGGACTAGTAACATGAGTAAATTCATTTAATCCTCACAACAAATTTACAAAGCAAATATTATTTCCTCATTATGGATGACAACAAAAACAGAGAGGCTAAGTGACTTGATCAAAATCATACAGTGGCACAATCAGGATTTAAACTCAGGCAGACATATTTTAGTAGCAGTTTTATAGCACATAGTACTAATCCTGACAATAAATTCCCACTGAGAATATTGATTAAATAGCAATAGAAACATCACAAAAATAATGTAGAATATAAAAAATACTTACCAGCTTGACAAAAATAAGCTAAGGAGGCTTTTCCTGGTTGCAATGTACTGAAATATTTCTGAGGACTCAGTTCTGATAGAGAGTCTACTGCTGACTTATAAAAAACGCACATCATAACAAAAGAGATGCCAACTCTAAATATATTGAAACTGAAAGACATCATCAGCTGTAGTTGTACATGGGCAGGAGATTTTCGTCTGTTTTGTTCAGTGCTGTGGTTCTGTTGCCTAGGATAATACCTAGCAAGAATAGGTGTTCAACAAAGTTTTGCTGAATAAATTTGTTAAACAAATGAATGAAGTAAAATCTGCAAAAAGAATAATATAAGGCATTACTTATATATTTGATTTTGCCTGTACTTTCCTATTTCCCTCTAGTAAATATTTGAGAGGGATGACATAAAATGACATTGATTTAATACTATTGATTTTTCATACTTGCAAAAGATATAAAAGATATCTAGAAAAAGCAACATGAAATATTTTAAGTTTAATAGGTATTTACTAGAGTATGTTAAGCTAATTGTCATTTTTAAGGGTTCTAAAATTAATTCTCAAACATTATTTAATCCTTGTTTTAAATTGGGCATTTTATCTTTCTCTACCTAGAGCAGATTTACAATCAATACTCAGTTATTTAATACCATTAAATGGGAGTGAGACATCCAAAATCTGTATCTACTATGTCTACATTCTTTTTACTTTAAATTCCCTAGAAGATAGCAATTAAAACTATTTAAAGAACATTCCTTCTAAATATACTTTTAATACACGACTTAGACTTACTTACACAGTTTAGAAATTCAAGCCTCTTTTTCAACCCATATTTTAATTCAACTCTATCTTCTGAACTCAGATTTGTTTTAGATATCCTCCTCTCATCTTCTTTCAAGCTGTACTTACTTCTATGCTATCCTCTGCACCTGTTGTCAATTCTTTGTCTTCTATTTTGCTACCTTCAAATTTCTCTTGAACAATTTCTTCTTTCAGGAAGTTTTTCTACTGATGATCTATACTACCTAAGTTTAAAAAAAGATAGTTTGGGAAAATTAGTGTAACATAAATACATCATACTTCTAGAAGGTAAAGATACACCCACAAGCATAGGTGAGAATTTTAATTTTTTTAAAATTTCAAACAGAACCCTTACCTTTCAAACAAAGGATCACTACCCCAAAACAAGAGACAGTAAAAAAATAGCTAAAAATTACTCATAAGAGGGGTAGACTTTCTCAGTAAAGAATAAAACGATAAAAGAATGAAAAACTTAGGGACAATTACACTAAATTGGATATTTACTTCGCTCTTTCTTTTTTTAAGATTTTACTTATTTATTTGTCAGAGAGAGAGAGAGCATGCACAAGCAGGGGGGAGGTGCAGCAGAGGGAGAAGCAGGCTTCCGGCTGAGCAAGGAGCCAGGACTCTAGGATCACGACCTGAGCCAAAGACAGATGCTTAACCAACTGAGCCACCCAAGCAGCCCTACTTTGCTCTTTCAATCTTATCAGTAAGCCTATAATTTCTCTCCTTAAGAAGCAGGTATTCCTATGATCCTATGCCTTGTTTCTTAAATTCCACATATGAGTGAGATCACATGGTAATTGTCTTTCTCTGACTGACTTATTTCACTTAGAATAATACCCTCTAGTTCCATCCATGTTGTTGCATATGGCAAGATTTCATTTTTTTTTTTGATGGCTGCAGATCATGGGGGAAGAGAGAAAAAAAATGAAACAAGACAAAACCAGAGAGGGAGACAAACCATAAGAGACTCTTAATCTTAGGAAACAAACTGAGGGTTGCTGAAGGGGAGGGGGTGGTGAAGTGGGGTAACTGGGTGATGGACATTGGGGAGGGTATGTGTTGTAATGAGCACTGTGTATTATATAAGATTAATGAATCACAGACCTGTACCCCTGAAACAAATAATACATTATACGTTAATTAATTGAATTTAAATTTTAAAAAAATTTTTAAAGCAGGTATTCCTAAAAAAAAAAAGCTAATTACTCATCAATTACTTAACATTATTTTCATTAGAGCTAATTTATATCAGTGAACAAATCTGCCACTAGTATTTAATAATGAACCAAGAGTTCAAAAACTCAAGTAGAATGAGTGAGGACTGTGAGTGGTATTTTTAATGATATAATTAAGGGGTATCCTTGATATTAACACTGATTACACATTATAGCCATTTTATTTATTTTTAATTTTTTTTAAGATTTTATTTATTCATTCGAGACACAGAGATACAGAGAGAGAGAGCATGAGCAGGGGGAGAGGCAGAGGCAGGGAGAGGGAGAAGCAGGCTCCCCGCTGAGCCAGGAGCCGGACGTGGGGCTTGATCCCAGGACCCTGGGATCATGACCTGAGCCGAAGGCAGATGCCCAACCATCTGAGCCACCCAGGCGCCCCACATTATACCATTTTAAACCAGTGTATTTTAAAGCCACTTATATTAATGGGAATGGTTTAAAATAGGTCATTCAATATTTTCTTTATTGGGCGGGGTGGGAAATGCATGCATCCTGAGGCTAAGGGAATAACTATATAATATCTGTTACTATATGAAATAACTAAAACACAATGAAAAGATAAAACTTTTAAATAAAAGTACATTTGAACAATTCAAGTATAAATATAATTTTTCCTGGGCTTGTGGTTACAATTCACTTATTTTAACACTAAATTGGACAGTAGGGTTAACATATGATTCTTTTCCCATAGAATGAATTTGTAGCAGCAAAAGGTCTAACTGCACATTCAGTACTAGAATAGTTTTCCCACACCTATCTCATTGGACAAATGAAATTATAGATGTGGAAGTACTATGCATTTGGTCAATTAGAGATGTATGTGATTCTCACATACATACTTTCAGGGACAGGAACTCATTAGTAACTATAACCTTTGCAGTTTGTTCCATCTTTGATAAATTTGATTATTTAAGGAATTACTTAAAGCAGAGAATATTGCACAGGTCAGCCAGAAATAGTTTACATGGTTATAATAAAATAAACACTGAATAATGATTTAACCAAATTCAAGACAACCACAGTTCAGAGGATGGGGAGACAGAAATTAAGGAAACACAAAGTCAGGGTGGGAAGAGGAATAAAAGAGAGCTAAATCTTCGCTTTCACAACACCAAAAGCCAAGTTTATTAGAAATAGGAAAATCAATGCCAAAAGAAACAGGGAGCAATTTAAATAATTGCCTCTAAGGAATAAGAAATTGGAGGAGGAAGATACCAAGGGGACTTTTGGAGTCTTACGTAGAACCATCTGACTCTTTAAATAGTGTACCTTTTCATTTTGATTTTAAAAGTTAAAGTCATTCTATTTGGACTACGTCAAAATAAAAAGCTCTGCACAACAAAGGAAACAACCAAAAAACTAAAAGACAATCTACTGAATGGGAGAAGATATCTGCAAATGATGTATCCAAAGAAGTGTTAGAATCCAAAATATATAAAGAACTTATACAACTCAACATCAAAAAAAACCAAGTAATCCAATTTAAAAATGGGCAGAAGACAAGAACATTTTTCCAAAGATGACATACAGATGGCCGACAGACACATGAAAATATGCTCAACATCACTCATCATCAGGAAAATGCAAATAAAAATCACAATGAGATATCACCTTGTGCCTATCAGAATGGCTAAAATCAAAAGCTCAAGAAACAAAGCGTTGGTGAGGATGTGGAGAAAAAGGAACCCTCATGCACTGTTGGTGGGAGTGCAAACTGGTACAGCCACTGTGGAAAACAGTATGGAAGTTCCCCCCAAAATTACAAATATAACTACCCTATGATCCAATAATTGCACTACTGGGTATTTACCCAAAGAATACAAAAACATTAATTCAAAAGGATTTACATACATTTATGCTTATTGCAGCATTACTTGCATTTGCCAAACTATGGAAGCGGCCTAAGTGTCCATGATTAGATAAAAGGATAAAGAAGTTGTAGAATATACACAATAGATTATTCAGCCATAAAAAAGAATGAAATCCTGTCATTTGCAACAACATGGATGGATCTAGAAGGTATAATGCTAAGTGAAATAAGAGAAAGTCAAATACCATATGATTTCACTCAAATGTGGAAATTAAACAAAACAAATAAACAAATTAAAAAGAGAGCTACAAACCAAAAAACAGACTCTTAACTATAGAGAACAGAGGGTTACCAGAGGGGAGGTGGGTTGAGGGGGATGGGTAAAAAAGGTGAAGGGGATTAAGAGTACACTTCTCTTGGGGCACCTGGGTGGATCAGTCGGTTGAGTGTCCAACTCTTAGTTTTGTTTCAGGTTGAGATCTCAGGGTCCTGGTATCTAGTCTTGCCACCGGCTCCATGCTAAGCAGGTAATCTGCTTAAGGCTTCTTCCTCTCCCTCTCCCTCTGCCCTTCCCCAAGCTCACGTGCGCGCCCGTGCTCTCTCTTTAAAATAAATAAATAAATCTTTAAAAAAAAAAAAAAAGGAGTACACTTCTCTTGATGAGCACTGAGTAATATATGAAATTGAATTGCTATATTGTATACCTGAAACTAACACAACAGTGTATGTTGATTACACTGGAATTAAAATAATACAAATGGAGCTGGCTAAGTTGGTTAAGCGACTGCCTTCCGCTTGGGTCATGATCCCGGAATGCTAGGATCGAGTCCTGCATCGGGCTCCCTGCTCAGCGGGGAATCTGCTTCTCCCTTTCACCCTCCCCCCTCTCGTGCTCTCTCTCTCATTCTCGCTCTCAAATAATAAAAAAATTTTTAAAAATCTAAAAAAATAATACAAATGAAAATTAAAAATTAAAATTACTTGTATGTAATCAAATATTCCATAGCGTCTATGCATATTATTAATTCAACCTATCCCTGTGGGACCAAAGAAGAATGTTCATTTCACATGCATGGAAAATAAAATACATTTGCCCAGAGACATGTTCTCCATATAAAAATGTCTTTAAACCAAAGGAAGGGAAGTATGAATGGGAAAGGGTAGGGGAATGAGAGTACCAGTGAGAACAGAGTAAAAACAAAGATACAGAAGGTACTCGGTGACTCTTTTTCTCCAGTGAGTAGAAAATAGAATGAAAATGATACTTAATGATTCAAAATCTAAATATCGGGTGCCTGGGTGGCTCAGTTAGTTAAGCATCCATCTACCTTCAGCTCAGGTCATGATCTCAAGGTCCTGGGATCAAGTCCTGCATTGGGCTTGAGTCCTGCATTGGGCTCCCTGCTCAGCGGGGAGTCTGCTTCTCCCTCACCCCCTATCCTCCCCCTCTCTTGCAAAAACAAGTAAGTAAAAATCTTAAAAAAAAAACACACACACACAACATCTAAATATCAACAAAGAGATGAGTACCTTGGGAGAAATGTAACCTTGGTACTTTGGTGTAGTAGTTCATTGGTATGGGGTAAATAGCTCCAGTTCTCCTATAGAAGGTTGGATTATACTTAACTTCCTGCACGTCCCACCTCTAGTGAATTGGTTGTGGCCACCGGGTGACTTACTCTGGCCAATAAAATGTAAGCAAAAGTGGCATGTCTTGTTCGGGCAACAGTTTAACAGCTAGTCTGTGGTAGAGCAGGACTTACTTTCTTCTCTCGCAGTCATTAAAAATGCTCAGTTGGTGGCTACTCCTCAGCATGAGTCCCAGAATGAGCACAACACAGAGAACCCTCACTGATATGCAATGAGAATGTGACATGGGGGGAAATAAACCTTATTGTCATAAGCCACTGAGATTTGAGGGGTTATTATGGCAGCATAATCTAGTTTATCTTCACTGGTATACACACTAGAACAAGGTGCTACCTTAACAAGAACCCCAAACACTGGCTCAGAGGCCAAGGAGCAAGGACTGTTCAGGGCCTAATCAGGGAAACTTTCATCAGAGACTGGAGCTTGGCAATCCACATTAAGGAGTGACAAAACATTTGACAAAACGGTCACTACAATAATCTGGAGGTGACACACACCTAATGAATTTATAATGAGCATGTACCCAGACTTGTGTGGCTAATGAATGTATTTATGGCCCTAAAAGAGGCTGGTAGACAGAAGATGAGCACTGAGCAATAGCTGCTGTTGGTTATGTTTAACGAGGTATTCAAAGAAAGGTATTCAAAGAACCACCACCATCCAAGAGACTAGCGGTTTAAAACTTAAACAGTCCTTTAGCACCCACCCTTCTATTATCAGGAAGCAAGCTGACAAAACTGCTCAGCCATGGGAAGAGGCCATATTCTCCAAAGCCAACTTCAGATGTAGCCAAGGATAATAAAAATGGAAGGTCCTGCTGCAGAGTAAAGCCAAAGACCATGGAGAACTATGCCCTAGGGCATGTGCCAGAATATGAACTGTTTGTTACTGGTCTATAATAATGAGATAAACACAGACATTGAGTGTAAATGTCAAAAAGCTGTTATAGCTCATTTTACACAATAATTTTCTGTCTGTTGAATCTAAAAATTTTAAAATTGGGCTTGTCATTTGAAAAGTGTTTTCATTCCATTTTTGTTATAATTCATTTTTATTGTAGTTAACAAAAATTCAAATTTAGATTTTGAATCATTAAGAATTAAAACAAAACAAAACAAAACCCTGGTCATTCGTGACAGACAGTTTGAAAAGCACTGACCTGGAGAACCCAGTGAACAGAACAATAGCCCTAGCAATATCTGCCCAGTGAGATTTCAGAGTTCCTACAGTCTCGAGTCTGGTGTGTGTCTTCCATTCTTCTCCTCCCCAAATGGGAACACTTATACGTATTTGTCCCGACACTACCCTATGTATTCAACTGGGGGTGGGAAACAGATAACTTATAATGTCCAGACTAATAAGAGATTAGCATTACTGGGAATTACTCAGAGATCCTGGACTTTGAGCTTGAAACAATGACTGGATGGGATTTGGGGGTTATGTCCACGGGGAAGGGCCAAGGATGAACTATATGTAAGGAGAATACCTGTTCAGAAAAAGGGTGGACACTTCAAATGTTTCTAGTTCTCTACACATGTGTACTTCCCCACTTCCTTGAATTAGGTATAGCCATGACTTGATTTGGCCAATGAAATGTGCAGTGACAGATGTAACTTCCCAGAGTTTTTTCACAGTCAATATATTTTCATGACTCGCGACACATTTTTCTTCTGCTATGATGAATGACAACACTCAAAATGAGGCCTTCTCTGTTAAACCAAGTCTCAGAAAGAGGACAACATGGGGCAAACCTCCCAGCTAACCCAGAGTGAACATAAATTAAACAAACACCATTGTGTTAAATCTCTTAAGTTTGGGAGTTGTTATTACAGTATAACCCAGTCTAGACTTATTGGTTTTATTTTTTTTTTTTTTAAGATTTTATTTATTTATTTGAGAGAGAGCATGAGCAGGGGGAAGAGACAGAGGGAGAGGGAGAAAGAGACTCCCTGGTGAGCAGGGAGCCCGATGCCGGACTCGATCCCAAGACCCTGAGATCATGACCTGAGCCGAAGGCAGACGCTTAACCGACTGAGCCACCCAGGCGTCCCTAGACTTATTGGTTTTACTAACAGCTAAGAGGAGAGTGACTTGAACATAAATACATATACGGGATTTTCTTTTTTTTTTTTAATATTTTACTTATTTATTTGAGAGAGAGAGAGACAGCGAGAAAGGGAACACAAGCAGGGGGAGTGGGAGAGGGAGAAGCAGGCTTCCCACAGAGCAGGGAGCCCGAATGCGGGGTGCAATTCCGGGACTCTGGGATTATTACCTGAGCTGAAGGGAGACGCTTAACGACTGAGCCACCCAGGCACCCCTTTATACTGGATTTTCAAAGCAGTAACTATCAAAGAATTCACAGGAAATTGACCCAATTTCACTGTAGAACAATTCTAAAAGTGAAGAAGACTCTTTCAAATGCTACTGACTGTAACCACAACAGGGTGCCAATACCAAAAGAAGGAAGTCATAGGCAAATGTTTGCCAATACTACACACATACATCTCCCAACTACATGCAGACTCATACCCTTTGAGCCTGGAGGGGGCCCTCAATTTGATAGATGCTCCTGTCAGCACTAATCAGAGGTGGTATGCAAGGTGTAACTTTTGCTTCACCCCTAAACTCTAAACAAGTATGCCTGCACAGGTCATTTAAAAGTTGGTAGGGGCACCTGGGTGGCTCAGTCGGTTAAGCATCCAACTCTTGATCTCAGCTCAGGTCTTGATCTCAGGGTCATGAGTTTAAGCCCCACATTAGGCCCCATGGTGGGTGTGGAAACTACGTTGGAAAAAATATGTGACATTTAACTAAGGACAAATATAAGGTGACAAACACTGTGAGTTGGAACAATAAGGCAGTAGTATAAAAAGGGTTAAAGCTGGCAAACAAAACACTAAATAAAATGCAACAAAATTTGGGGGCACCTGGGTGGCTCAGCTGGTTAAGTGTCAACTCTTGATCTCAGCTCAGGTCTTGATGTCAGGGTCGTGGGTTTGGCCCTGCATTGGGCTCCACGCTAGGCGTGGAGCCAACTTAAAAAAAAAAAAAAAAGCAACAAAATTTTGCTTAGCACCAAAATACAGGGAGAGTCCCCAGAGGGCAATGAGGAGAAAGAATTTCAACAGAAAAACATTCATCTTCCTGCTAGTCAGGGGAGGGGGAAGGATCTGCCTTCGTTTGTTCCACAGCTGGAGCAGCTGGTGACTCTCTACAGTTAGAACAATCCCATTTTGGGATTGGGTCCTGTTTATAATAATACTTGGCAAATAGTTCTGCTTTTAAATGTTTGAAAGACCATTGTGCTGGAGTAATGTACCCTCCTAGAACAACAATATTCAACCACTGTGCATTTGGACACATTTCAAATTTTAGAATATCAAGCAGCAAGCTTTTCTAGAAGACCTTGGTTAGTTTCCCTTTATACGTTTAAATTTCCCTTATGATTAACCATAAAACTAAAAGTTTTCTCTCTCAAGAAAAAGAGGAAATTAACAACTGCAAACATTAAACAAATTATACCAAGTTCTGTGGGCATCATTCTCAGGGAAAAGACACATTTCATATTTTGCAACAAATGGGGCATATAATGCTTACAAACTTCTTGTAAGAACATTCTGGCAAAAATCAGCTTATAGTTTAATGCTGCTACTGGAAAAAACCTGCTCACTGAACCAGCTTCAAATAAAATGTTGGTTAGATATCATCAAAGTTTCATTTAAGACTCGATGGAAGCAATAAAAGGAGTCAACATCTCTCTACTTCAGAGCTCCTTCAAGACAGTTGAGGCAAAATCCTCTATCTGCACCCTTCATGTACCCCCAAAACAGGAAGAGGAAAAGAGACAGCCATCTGGACTTGCTCTGAAATAAGAAATTTCACAAGCAAAGACCTAAAACTAGTATGGGTACTATCCAGATGTTGTTTACTACAACTTTGAGTAGAGAATATAGGAGAAAAAGAAAAACCAGTTCATGGTGAAAGTCTATTCGTGAACTGAAACACGTACCTCATCGTTATGGAAGATACAAAAATAGGCATGTCAGGGAACAGGAGGTTCCCCTCATTTTATGAGTGCCTAAAATCACAGAACTCTGAGTTCATGCTTAATTTACAAGTTTAACAGGCCCCTGGGTGGCTCAGTCGATTAAGCATCTGCCTTAGGCTCAGGTCCTGATCCCAAGGTCCTGGGATAGAGTCCCACATCGGGATCCCCGCTCACCGGGAAGTCTACTCCTCCCTCTCCCTTGCGCTCGTGCCTGCTCTCTCTCAAATAAATATTTTTTTAAAAGAATAATAATTTCCCTTTAAAAAAATTTACAAGCTTAAGCACATAACTGCTTAACTCAGACCTATTAACTTCTTTCAACAAGTTGTACTCTGCTCTAGGCTGCACTGTACACCCTGCTCAGCTGAATGTTTCATCTGAGAGATCCACATAACTGTGCCAGGCCTAAACATCAGTTTGTCAATATACCTATAAAGAATCCAAAACACATGAGTATCTGGTGCCTGGGTGAACCACTGTCCCAGAATCTGGAGTACAAAATAGACTTTAATGTTCCCTGTGGATCACTTAGCTAGGAAAGAAGGTAGCAAAACTCTTAACACAAAGCATTAGGACAAAGGATGGTGAGTTACCAAAGGCTGAGTCTTAGTTGCACCAGTAAATGTAGCAGTGTCTTTCAAAAAGATACTGAATTTGTGATGTGCCACTCACTCTAAGGAGAAGACAAATTGTTTTCTCATCAGTTTGCACTACTGAGCAAATGTCGTCAGTCCAATATACGTTGGAAGATCTACTCCTCGCTTATTTACAGCAATAACATAATACAGCATTTGTTTTGTACCTTTCTGGGCCTCAAGAAGAGCGCCACCATCCACCAAATACAGGACTAAGGCTTGAAGGAATACATACGGAATTTAAGGAGTACAAGCTCCCTAGACATTCATCAGCCTTACAGTTCTGTTTCTGCCTTTTCCCCTAAACTTGTGCCCAGAGCATCCTTCCAAATTCTAAGTTTCAAAGACCCACATTCCCCCTGTTCACATCTCCTGTGGACATCCATCTCATCCTAATATCACTCCTCTAAGAGACATTTCCCGAGGAAGAATTTTGCTTAAAGCTTCAGTTCACTCCCTCATTCCATCCCCTCTCCCCCACAAAGGGCTCATGAAAGCAAAACGCCCCTCAGAAGGATGCAGGTGAAGCCCCTTTTAAGCCAAACTCCAGAGCTCAGTGGCGCAGCCCTTGTTAGGGGACGGCCGCCAGGCTGAATCCCCATCCCGGCAGACAGAAACCACAGCCCCTCCACTGAAGGACCCGCGCTGTCACCTACCTGCCCGAGACCTGCGGGCAAGACCTACCCGGAGGAACCCAGGTGGTTCCCGCGGCCGACAATTCCCGCCACGTGAAGGAGAGGCAGAAGGCGGGGCCGTGCCCCGCTGGCTGGCAGCGGCGAAACGCGGCGCCTACCTACTAGGGTGCAGCACCCCCGCCCTCAGCGCCTGCAGCCGCCACTGCACGCTGAGGTCGGCCTGCGGAGCAAAAAACAACCTCAAGGCTCCTCCCTCTCCTCGTGCTCCCTACGTGCGGCCTCTCCAACCAATGGAAAGCGCAGGAGGCGGAGCGAGAGCCGCCCCAGGTGACAGGCGACCACCGAGTCCTCCCGCCGGCGCGAGCGGGCCGTGCAGTTGCTGGGCCAATCGGCAGTGTGGGTGGGGAGTGGAGGGGAGGGAGAAAGTGAGGAAAGCGGATGCCCAATCAGATCTTGGAGCCTTCGAGCGACGGGTCCTGTGGCCCGTGGCCTTCCGAGCGCGGCGCGCAGGGGGCGTGCCCGCCTGGGCCAATCGGCGCGAGTCCACGGTGCGGAGCGAGCGCCTCAAATGCTCGGCTTTCTCAGCTGATTGTCTCCAGCCGAGAGTTGTTTTTTGCAGCTACCGAGCCGAGCCGCAGCAGGAGGAGCCGAGACCCCCGGGGCGGGGGTGGGGGGAGGCGGGGAGAGGAGGCGGGGTCCGGGGAGCCGCGGCTGCTCTGCACGGGGCTCCGGGTCCTGTCACGGCGCTTCCTGGGGTTGGAGGTTGGGGTGGGTGGGGGGTAAGGGGGAAATCTTTCTCCCCCTCGACGGCGGCTCCGAGTCCGGCCCCTTCCTTCCCGCGCTCTCTTACCGGCCCCCCAGCCCCCTCATGAGGGTGTCCGTGCCGGGTCCGGCGGCCGGCCGCGAGCCCTCGACGCCCGGAGGCGGAGGCGCCGTCGCTGCCGCCTCAGGCGCCGCGGTGCCGGGCTCGGTGCAGTTGGCGCTGAGCATCCTGCACGCCCTGCTCTACGCCGCGCTCTTCGCCTTTGCCTACCTGCAGCTGTGGCGGCTGCTCCTGTACCGGGAGCGGCGGCTGAGTTACCAGAGCCTCTGCCTCTTCCTCTGTCTCCTGTGGGCAGCGCTCAGGACCACCCTCTTCTCCGCCGCCTTCTCGCTCAGCGGCTCCCTGCCCCTGCTCCGGCCGCCCGCTCACCTGCACTTCTTCCCCCACTGGCTGCTCTACTGCTTCCCCTCCTGTCTCCAGTTCTCCACGCTCTGTCTCCTCAACCTCTACCTGGCGGAGGTAAGGCGGGAGGACCGGCATGCGGGGCCGGGCGGGTGAGCGGGGCTGCCGCGATCAACTCGGGCTGAGGACTGGGCGGGGGGGAGGGGGGCCGGGCAGTTCGAGGCGGACCCGAGAGCAGCTTGGGGAAACTGAGGCACGCCTGGAGTGTGCGCCACTGGGCTCGCCCTAAACTTAAGCGGCGGATAGACTCGGTTCCTGAGAGACTGGCGGGGTTGAGTGAGTGAGAGTGTGGGTTCTGACAACTTACAACAGGACCACCCTTTGTTCGGTGTTTTGGCCCTCCAAGGTAAGGTGTTGGTGGCACCAACAAAGTGGCATCGCAAGAAGTAGGAGCCCCGGTAGCTCTGCCGAAGCTGGACTGTGTTGAGAGAGGTTGGATGCTGAGGTAGCAGCAGCTCTGCTGAAGCTGGACTGCTGCCAGCCATTACGTCACCAGGCAGAGCTGTTCCTCTGCTATTGTTGCTGCGTTTCTTTTATTAGAAGCTTATATTCCCTCCTGCATCTCCTTTCCTGTGGCTCAATAAGCCTCACACAAATTCCGTTCGATAGTTCCCCAGCAGGGTTAATGATCAATAACCAAAGCCGAGGGTCAATATAAAGACCTCCATAAAGCTCTTAATGTTTGCCCCACTTGCTCCAAGCTTTAGCTATTTATCCTACCTCTTACATACAGCCTAGTGATTTGGTTTTTTTGGGTTTTTGGTGGGTTTTTTTTTTTTTTTTTTTTTTGGAGCTAATTAAGACAGAAAATACTAGCTTAACCTGTGACTATTGCAGAAACAAACCACTAAACTGTTTTTGCAATAACTTGCTTAATAGCTGGAACCTAATCACACCCCCTTTCTCTTTTATGGGGAATTGCTGGTTGGATTGCATTGTTCTGCAGCGCTTAGGTATTTGACCCATTTCAAACAGGTTTGAGAGTGTAAGGTTGTCAGTCAAGTGTGTCAGCTAGTGGTATTTAAGCCACAGAATTTTGAGAATTGCCCAAAAACTCTCCCTTCCCCCTCCCCCCACCAAAAAAAAAAAAAGCTTGAGGAGGGGAGGAAACAAGGTGACATCATATGCTTAATACTGACTAATATAGAACAATATTGGTCTATGCAGCTAATCCTCTCAAAGGCTTTTGGAGGTGATGAGAATTAACATAGTTCTGAGCAAAAGTAAAAAAAAAACATTTGAGGCAGATTGTTTATATTTTCTGCGTAAATCAACTCTTCTCCCATAATAGATGGAAAGTAGAATGCATAATTTTAAAATTACAGTCATAACTTCAGCTTTTTACCACATTAAAAACAACAGTTGAAAATAAGTAACAAAACTAATTTAACTTGAATTCTTTTCTTTCCCCATCCTTTGGAAGTCCAAGCAATGCAAGACAAAACCCAAACAGTTTAAAGCAAAAATAAAAAAAACATGGGCAATCATAAACCAAATAATCATGCCATAGTCATGTCACTTATTTGATGATGCTCTCATCTTCTAGTTGTTGTTAAAGCTGTCATAACACTTCGGTCCTTTATAGTTAAACTGATACATCGTATTCTTCCTGACACCTTTTCTGATAGAATACCAGTGACCTCTCATTACTGAAGCTTAAATCTAGCTTCAGACATAATTTACCTGAAAGTGACTAGCAATCCTTAAGCCATGAGCATCAGATAATTTGTTTTTCCCCTATACATTTTGACTTATAAAATCATATTAATGATTCCCTGTAAAATAGTGGGCATTTCATAAAGTAGCTAAACACTCTTTTTTACTTTTTTTGGAGAAATAAGGTAATGCCATAAAGGGCATAAATCTTAAGGATACAGCTATGAAATTTTATGTATGCGTATACTCATGTTACCACCCGGATTAAGATAGACAGCATTTCTGGTGCCCCAGGTTATTCCCGTGTGCCCTCTCCCAGTCATACCTCTCACCTTGAGGTAATCACAAAGTGGCTAAACACTATCACAATAGAAAAAGCATCTATAGTTAGGCTCAAAATTCTAAAAGTATGCTTCTACAGCATAAACTGCATGATATCTAGATTGGGTTTTCATACTTTTAATTGCTGATATTCCAAGGGAAGAATTTAAATGTCTAAAAGTCTTCCTGTTAAATGAATCTTTTGTGTGATGTAATTTTTCAAAAAGCAATAAAACTCAATAAACCTAGAAAACATTTGAAAAGAAGATAGACTAAAGCTTTTTCCTTTTGTAGTGGCTCCTAAAAAGAGTGTAGATTATCTATGCTTGTCTTTTTATAATCAAATTAACAATTTTAAAACACATAACTGTACTTAAAAGAACAAATTTTCAACTGTTTAAAGAGTGATATCTTGACCAGAAATCATTTCCCTATTATTAGAAAAAATCAGGAGGAATCTATATTTAAAAGAGTATTTGAATTCAAATTTTTATATCAATTCCAAGTAACTGGAAGTATACTTTCCATTGATTGTTCTGAATTAATGAAACTTTTTCAGTGAGTTCTTGGTATTATAGAAGTATGGTAAGGAAAATCTATCTGGTGACAAAACTGACATTTGATTTTTTTTTTTTTTTCACTAAAAGGCCCTATATCTGTTTTGAATAGTTGCACTTCTTGATTACCAAATCACTCTGTCTTTACTATCTATCATTAAATACCAATTTCATTTTGCTTTTGGCCTCTTTAAAGCATTTGTTGCATACATTTCTTATGATTAAAAATATTCTAACTTTAAGGACTTAGTTACAAAAAACCATGGAGCAGAATAAAAACAAAGTTAGAAAAACAACCATTACTACTTTGAAAGCATTTTGGTGGTTCTTCTAAAACTCATTTAGTTTTCAAAAAGTTAAGACTGCCTAAATCACTCTTTTGTTGACTACACTTGAGTGGAATTGAGATAAGGAGAAGTAGCCCTTCTGAAATAATTAGACTTTTCAACTTAATCTCCTGGAAGCAGATACTTGGGGTGGGGGACGACGAACTGTACACTAATCTAAAAACACCTACTGAGCTTTTTTTGGCATGATCAATAGAACATGTACTTTACCAGAGAAAGGTTCACACTCCTGTACTTTTACCAGAGAAGACTTCAATCTTTAAAACAGATTATCTGATAAAACTGATGCTACCTACCACTGAAATAAGTAAAAGGACTTAAGATGAGAGTTGATAGTACACTGTCTTTGGAGTATTGTTATATATGCCAAAATCAATGAGTTCATCTTCAAGGCCCATATTGACATTTTTTCTTACAGTTTTGTAACATGAATGCCAGTTGTTTAATCAGGATAAATATGGTGACTTAATCACAATGCCAAAATACCACAATGCCAGCTAGGAAAATTAAATTCAGAATCTTAACTCTCACATTCATGGATGCTGTCGTTGTCCCTGACAATGAATATATTCTTCCAAGTGTTGATGATATGTCAATAATGTGTAGTTTAACTTACATGTACTTGGGTGTCATTATAACGTTCTGTGATTTCTCACAAAAGCATTTTCGCCACCTAACATGAAAACTCCTTAAGGATTAAGTTAATTTATTATATTTTTATCTCATAGCAACTAGAACAATGGTGAATATATTATTGAATGACATTCTTGAAAAGGCCAAAACTAGAAAATATTTAGCCATCTAAAATTTGAGGGTTAACTTGATTTTGATGAACATTTGAGGTAAATTATTTGTGTACTTTCTGGGATCTTTATATTTTCTGCCTAAAAGATTGCCTATTGGTATGAATGCTACGATTCTCTTAGATTATCATGATTTAATTAGATAAAAGTTTATTTTGATTACCGCAGGTAAAGTATTACTAATGAAACCACTTGAATATATTCGAGTTTTGCTTAGCAATACTATTTTTACATCATGGCAAATGACCCATAGTAATTAGGTCTTTGCTAATTTGGCTTCAACAAATTCTATTAAATAGAAAAGTCTATAAAACAAGTAAGTTTCACATCAGGAGTCAGTTATTATTTGCTGGA